TTTATCTTAGCTGGAATATTGCTGACTGCGGCCTTTACAACAAACACTTCTTATTATGGTAACGACTCAAGCGCAAGTTCAGTGCAAAATCGAATAAATACATCGTCGTCAAAAATCAAACACATGGGCCCCAACAAATAGACATTCCTTGACTTAAATACTCACAAGTCAAATTACACAAGAATTAAGTCATCTCAATAAACATTCCTCCTGAATCCCACAAACAGTAGCTTCCAGAGAGTAAACATCTTTACAGACATACCAGGTCTGTTAGTAAGTCGTTTTGACTGCGTGAAGACAAATACCTGTATTGTAGGCTGGAGATCTGACCCGCAGTCTTTGTATTGTGCACCCATTGTGAACCAGTAACTCGGAACACCAGATGCGTACGGGTCATTGTGTAGACATTCCAGTCCACGTCGTGACGTCATCCAGCGTTAAACAGGCCCTGTTCCAGTCGTCACAACGTAGTCACGTTTCTCACGCCAAGAAGCGAGACTAACTAATTACACGATACGCGTCTCAAGGCAATTTGTGCTTTTCACTCCATTATGCTCCAGTTAACAAAGACATTTAAAAAAAATCTGCTTGTGGTGTATGTGTTACATAATTGAATTTAAAGTGAAACGATACAGCAATGTCACGATATTTCAGAGCAGGTTCCACAGACAGAGCAAGCTATTGACGCACGTTCGCAGCGGCTATTAATACCATTCATTATGACTAGGGGTGGGTATTGCAAGGAATTTCTTATTGCGATAAATTGCGATGCGAAAGCATGTATTGCGATATGTATTGCAATATATTGCAAGAAGTTTTCTTTAACAAAAAAATACGTATAATCGAGTTCATGCTTGATTTATAAAGTAGAAACACAACAAAATCACAATGCTTGATTAGGCGTTAATAAAAACTTTTTATCATGACAAAATAAAAATGTAAATAATGTTTGGCACAAATGAAACAAGGAAATAAGGAACAATTTAAAAAAACGGAAAGATTTCCGAGTGTTACGAAGTTTTCCGAATGCATGTCAAAATACCGGTTTTCGATCAGCATATCGCAATACGTATCGTTTTCATGTCTGAACCGGTAAATCGGTTATATTGCGCAACCCTAATTATGACACACAAAAAGGCTGGGGTAAGGGCGAGTTTTGAGTAATTTAGTTGAAGTCTTGTATTGAAAAAGAAAATATGCATGTATGTATGTGTGTGCGTGTGTGCGTGCGTATGCACGTGTGTATATGTGTATGGATGTAGCCTTCGTATTACCAGGGAGTATTTGACCTACAATTGGTTGCCTCTTTTGACTGTTTTCCTTTAGCGTCCCGTGAAGATCCGGGTTAGAATTGGTCTTCAGCAACCAATACTTGTCGTGACAAGCGGCTAACGGCATTGGGTGGTCAGACTCGCTGACATAGTTGACTCTTGTCATCGAATCCCATCCTTGCGATGTCGCAGCCTAGAGACTAAATCGTGGCTCCTCACGCCGAAGGTCCCTTTTCGATTCCCCGCATGAGTGAAATATGAAGAGTCATCTTCTTGCTTCAGTTGTCATGATATTTGTCGAATGTTGCAAAACAAAAAAACGGCGTTAAACCCAACTCACTTACTCTTCCGTTTCCATATTTCTTACCGTCAGTGTATGACAAACAGGAGTGTCTATTATGACCTATGATGTCTCCCAGTTGAATGACACCCAACGCGTTTCGTGTTTCGAACTAAGTCCTAACTAACCACACGTATCAGCGGTATTATATTCACAAATTGTTTGGTATTTCACTTGGCAAGGAATGACACTTTGAATCTATTCAGCGTGTAATGGAGATTCAGATAGGGCCCGTAAGCAGGCCACGGTACTTCGGGAGACCTTGCGTTGTTTAGTACTTCTGGTGACAAACAACGTTTCATACTTTTTCGAATGGCCTCATCGTTGTCAGTTGACTGAGGAACCGATAATCCTTGCAGGAATAACAAATTCCGATCTAACCATCCCTAAATTAAGCCAACTATTACGACTGTCAACAGATGTGTCAGCCAAGCATGGTTGTACACTTCATATTTGGCGGTCGCGCAATTTGGAACCAGAACTGGTTCTTGAATATACGCTTGTCACCGGAAATCTGGAAAGGAGGTAAGCTGGGCCCCGTCTCGCATATCACAAGTTGGCGCGCGCAAAAGGAGCAGAGAACCAGCTTAGTACCGGAAGTAGCGCATCGCGAGACTTACGGGCCCTACAAGATGGTGTCAGACCTGTAATTTACGTTCACATTATGCCAGTCAGTCATCCTTGGAATATCAAACAAAATACACGACATGGATATCGATTCATATACCACGCCCGATAGTTAATATAATACCTATTAAAAGTTTAGACTCACTTAAAGCACTCACTATATGTCATGTATATATATGTGTAGTTACATCGAAGATGAAGTTCTCCCTTAACTTGGGGGAGCCAACTGCAAACTTGATGCAGATGAATTGCATGAGGATCATGCATCAAATTGCTGAAAAGCGCGTGCAAATATCGTGCATGTGAACAGCTGCGTTTGGGTGTAAAGTTTTGTTAAGAATTCTCCAATTCTCACTGAGTTTCATAATTTATTGAACTCATGACAATAATCTTTTCAATATTACGAATTTGTCTTACAATACATCAGTTCATGTGTAAACAGTACCTATAAACTGTATGGAATATTTTGCAAAATCTAGTTAAGAACAGTTGACTGAAGTAAGTGGCTACATTTACACTTGTGAGTCTAAACTTTTGATGGGTAGTATACTTGTTTGGAACAATACAACTCATGGTTGACCTTGACCTCCTATTTTCAGTACACACCCAATGCTGTAGATTTACATCACGTGTGGGTCGATGAGCCAATCCTCATTGTCCACAGAAAATATGACAAAATATTGAATTTCTAATTTTAACTTTTTTATCAAAGTCATCAAAATCAAAATGACTTTGTGAAACGTTCATTCAATGCGTACATGTCCTTACACATGTGCAGACGTACCGCGTGTTATTTCAATATATTGACGTCCCTCGGTACTGCTTCCAGTATTCAGCTCCACATAAACACGAGATGATGGTGGCTTTGTGTTAAGTTGGCTGGTTGGATGGTTTGTTACATTGACGTTTGACGCCGCACTCAGCAATATTCCAGCTATATGGCGGCGGTCTGTAAATAATCGAGTCTGGACCAGACAATCCAGTGATCAACAGCATGAGCATCTATCGACGCAACTGGGATACGATTACATGTGTGAACCAAGTCAGCAAGCCTGACCACCCGATCCCGTTAGTCGCCTCTTACGACAAGGGTTGGGTGAAAGTATACTGTGGCAGCTAAATGTATGTGAAATAAAACGTATAAACAATTTTTGGAAAATATTAAAGTACATACGTCCCTGGACATCAGAAATTGGTAGAAACTAGCTTTATACAAAAACATTTACCTGATCGTGGTCAATAACCGACTCTTTGATAATAAGTTTGAGAAAATTCTGCCACAAAAATGACAATTGTGCAGGTGTAGCAAAATATTCAGCATTCTTTTTTAAATAGTCTGTTTATGAAACTGTTTATTAAAAATATAGTTTCCAGACTCCAAACCCCTGCGTGAAGCCAATTTCTGGTATATAATGATATTGCTGGAATATTGTTAAAAGCGGTGTGACAAAGTTCTCTAGAGCGAGATAAATTATGGTACCAGACGTTACCATGCTGGTAACATCCCGTACCAATGATAATGTTAATACCACGTCCAAGTTCTGAGCGGTGCCAGAAAGTATTTGTAATTCGAGACAAGCGTAGTTTTTATTTGGAAATCGTAATGTGGTTTAAATATTGCTGAAGGCAAAGTTTGTTGTTAATTGTTTGTTGTTGATTGTTTGTTGTTGTTGAAAGCAGAGTCTGTTGTTGTTTGTTTGTTGTCCTTTGTTGGTGAACGCCACACACAACATTTTCCCGGCTATATGACATGAATAAAAGAGGTTGAACAAGACAATCCAGTGATTGCCATCATGCATGAGCTTCGATCTACGCAAATGAGATACGATGACATGTACCAACGAAGTCAGTGAGCCTGACCACCCGTTTTCCCTCTCACGACAAGTATGGGTTGCTGACTTTTAACAACCAGTCTGCATACCACAGAAGGGACAGTACCGTTAAGGCAAATAGTAATTGTAACTATTGAAACGTCACCAATATTCGCGTATATCCCCCACTGGGCTGGTATGTATTGATATTCGTAGACACACAGTGAAACAAAACAACCGATATCATCTCTTACAGTTGCATATCATGGCATACCATTGCTTAGCACTGCATATCAAGATATCAATGATTAGTAGTTCCACCATTAGCCTGTCTCACAGTCCCTGAACCACATTATTTTCCCTACTGCCAAGCCCTCTCTGCAGTGCTCAAGCCCTAAATAAAGAAAGTCTAGATTTCCTAAGGTTCTCTGGTCCTTCTAGGGCTCCTTTTCAATTTAAATGGGCTTGTTTGTTACTATCAAAATTATATATATTCAGAGACTAAGCATTAGTCTATTCCACCAACTACTGTTCTGAGTATTATAATTGCAAACTACAGATTATTGTATCTGTTTCAGAATCACCATGAACGGCGACTACAACTCCTACGGCAACGTCAATTCTCCCGAGGACACCACCTCGGTGTGGGTTGGCGACAACACGCCCGCCGTCAGCATGGAACCCCTCGTCGACCAATTTGGTAATCTCAGATTTGGCAATCAGGTGATCCCACTAACGACACCAGTCGCCCCCTTCCTCAATCAAACACCAGGCCTGCCAAACCTCACCGCTTCCTCATTCCCGAATCTCAACACGGTCCAGCTTCCCCTAAACCCCCCCTTGCTGACGTCACAGCAGACGGGGCAGTTTTACGTCGTCAACGTGCCAACGTCATCAGACATCGCCTCTGGTCACCTGAATAGTGTTCCAACACAGAACTATGTACAGGTACCGAGTCCATCGTCAGCTCAGACGCCAAGTCCCGGGGACGTATTCAACGTCAGTCCTCTTCGACATGTTCCAACACAGAACTATGTACAGGTACCGAGTCCATCGTCAGCTCAGACGCCAAGTCCCGGTGACGTATTCAACGTCAGTCCTCTTCGACATGTTCCAACACAGAACTATGTACAGGTACCGAGTCAATCGTCAGCTCAGACGCCAAGTCCCGGTGACGTATTCAACGTCAGTCCTCTTCGACATGTTCCAACACAGAACTATGTACAGGTACCGAGTCCATCGACAGCTCAGACGCCAAGTCCCGGTGACGTATTCAACGTCAGTCCTCTTCGACATGTTCCAACTCAGAGCTCGAGCGTCAACCCTTATGCTCCCACCTCGACTCAGGTGAATAATCCAAGTGAGATATTCGGCGTGCACTCTCTGCGACATGTACAAACCCACAAAAATTACATCGAAAACGAATCAAACGGAGTGAATAGACCAACTCATTTCACTAATGGGGCGAATACAAGATCGACACACGTGAGCAGTCCTGAGGCACCGCAGGTAGTTTACCAAACACAGAGACTTTCAAGTGACCAGGAATCTCCGTTTCGCGGGCAACCATACATGAAGAAGTTGTCTATAGATAGCTCCAATGGAGAAGTCATACGATCACCAGAAGGTATGGTCCCCCCGCTTGTGTCGTCTGCAACCTTCACAACACAACTTCCGGTGGGTGATAATTATGTAAATGAGCGGGAAAATGGCACAAAGTTGGTTTTGAGGACAAACAGTGGCCAGGATGGAACAAATACCTCCAGTATGACGTCATCGGCGTCTGTCAGTCCATACAGCTCCGTTCCCTCATCTCCTAGGCATGACCCAGGGGCTCCATTAACCGGCCTTGAAGCAGACAATAAAGCCGTGTACGATCCTGTATCTCCTCGTTACGCCAAACCCACGGCCAAGTCTCGCTGCCTTGTATGCGACAAGACAGTGTACGCTATGGAGAAACGTGGACCTTTCAAAGATGACGTGCTGTTTCATAAAGGCTGTTTTAGGTGCGCTGTTTGCAGCATGATGCTTGACCTGAAGAACTTCTGCCAGAATCCAAATGACTTGGCGGACCTGAACATTTATTGCAAGTCTCACAAACCCTCCGAAAAATTTGGGAAACTTGACGCTGGTGCCTTGTCCATAACACGGGCCTTACATGCCCCGAGGCTGGGTCAGATGAACGAACAGATTAGAGGAGGGCCAGAAGCAATGAAGGGAGGAAAGATGGACGCTGGAGCGCTCAATATAAGAAGTGCACTGAACGTTCCAAAGGCCCAGGTGACGACACACGAAACTGTAAAAAACACAGCACATTCCTACCAAATAGACAACCAAACAGTTGCCATGGTGCATGCGAGAAGCGTCCCAGCAACCGAACTTCAAGTATCGAATAAACTACGAACCCAAGCGTGGTCACGTTCCAATAGGAAAGCGGAAGGTGTTCCGCCTCCCGATGTCATCCGACACGATACGCACCTTTCCGACTATAGCGTGGACCACTACAACCACGACCCGCCGTCATAAACCAGAAAAAAAGCCTTGAAAGGTTCTATGGTCCATGGCAGAAAGATGACCCTTACCTATTTCCTGGAATCATTGTGTGGTGAGAAATAGTTGGATCAGGAAAAGATAACTTTCTTCGGAAGGATATTCATGACCATTAAGCATGAAGAGTTATCCGCCCCTGCCATTGTAACACGCAAGAATGGATAACACCCAATACTCATTTCAGCCGACTCTTGATATTCTGCAGTTCGTGTTTACATGTTATCATCAATTTAATGGTGCACTGTGAGACTGTGGAAGCCTTGACTGAAGGTACAAATGATGAAGAACGATGGTATTACTATCTAACAAACCTCAAAACAACACGAGGGCAGTAGTTTATTTTTATCGGGATACTGCGTCATCTTCAGTAAATACTCACAGAGGAGTATGCGTTAGTTCCAGTACTGCCTAAACATTATTCGGAGAGGTCTACGGTAATGCTTGGGGTAGTACGTGAACATTCACTTGAGCTGGATCTTCGTTGTAGTATTGAGGCTTGTTAAAATAATTTTCTTGTTCCTCTTGACCTACCCATCTCTAAACTTGCCCCGACTCACATATTTCTTGTATCATCAAGCACTGTTCCAAAATGATCTTTTCAGTTCAACTTTCGTGTTTGCAATGGGTTTCGGCGTTTTCGGAAACGCAAAGCCTTTCATACTGTGTCACATTCACCATGATTACAAGACCTTGTTCCCATAGGTTGAAATACCAGTCGTGGTAAAACATCGTATGGTATATTATACCGAACGTTTATAGAATTATATCCTACAGAAAAATATTATCAAACAAAAAAACATAATATTTCTTGATGACCAGTCTTTTTCTGAAAATGTGAGAAACAAGAATATTTTGTTAATTAACCTGACCAAGACCGTGTATTTCAAAACTAAAGGGTTCACGTAGTCAACAAGCGTCATCTCTAACCACTGTCTTTCATCCTAACAAGCAGCCGGAACCCATTCAACAGCACGTCGCAGACGATGTTGCATTTGCAGGATTGACCAGGATGATGTCGCATCGGTTGAAGTTGCAAGAATTGTCTTGCGGAGTGTTTATGTGTGAACTGATTGCCTTGTTTGTCAATCACGGCCATTCTCCACACAGCAGACGTAGTTTGGCAGATGTCGTAAAATACACTTCCGGTAGTCGTAATGCCGAGATCCGACAGCATTCTCCACTCAAGACTGAATGCTGATTGCACGGACCATTTCTCCAATGATGATTAACATCAGCCATCTATACTCGACCCAATATGTGTGACATGGCAAAATGTGAAAACACTGCAGGTATACGAGACATTGTCAACATGTGAGACATTGTATACGAGGCGTTGCAATATATGAGGCATGTTTAATATGTGAGACTCGTGAGATACATTGTGCATATCAAGCCAAGATAGGAGACACGGTTTATATATGAGACACTATATGAGACTTCCTCAGATCAACGAATGACACGTCATATGATTCTTCAGTGAGGGGTCTGATGGTGGAGTTCCCCAACTAAAATGTTGCCGCTCTGGCTACAGATGAAGCTGATGTTGTTGACGAAGCTGGCGGTAGGTTGACCTCCGCCACCTGTACAGAAACGATGTATGTTATATACACAATTAAGTTATACCAATAGAAGGGAGGTAACCATTCTTTATATCCTTCACCTCTACGAGAATTGACACTCCATGGATTCAGTTTATGAAGCCCATCATATCATCACAGGGCCCCGTAATACTGATTCTATATTGCTGAAAACGTAGGAAAACAATACTCACTGCCTCTAGCAATTATACGACACTGAAATCGGAACTTAATAAAGTTCAATCTAAACAAGTTAAAGTAAATTTATTAGCCCCTTGTACGTAACCTAATTATCTAGTACTAACCATGTCAAAGCAACATAACCCTGCGGGCAATGAGTATTGTTTTATGCCGCTATTAGAAATATTCTAGCAATAACAAGGGAACATGGGACGTAGTAAAGGCGATAATATGTCTCAAATATATTCGTTCAAGAGCATAACCATTATAACCTCAACACAAAGTCGTTCTCTAAGCAATGATTACTCGGTAAATCGAACCTATTCGACTTGAAAAGTTTAAAGTGTTGATTTTGTGCAAAAACATGTTTATCAATGTTTATCGATAATCGACTATCGATTATTCGCGTCTTGATCAGAACTGATGTTCAGAAACCAATGCTTGTCTTGTCTGGTTCGCTTAGCTGGTTGATGCACGTCATTGTATAAGCAATTGCTTAAATTGATGCTGATGCAGACTCGATTAATTACAGATTGTCTTCATATAACCTTAATATTGATTAATGCGGTGTTAAACAACAAAGCAAAAACAAATTATCGTTGTCTCGAACTAGTAATTCCGGTGACACCCGGGACTTCGACTTAACGACCTTTTTTGCAGGGTGTCTGAAGATGAAGAGTCATCTTGAGGTAACACGTGAGAGTATAAAGAATGGTTAAACCCTGTCTGGAGAGCTATATGTAACTGACACATCTGCCATTTACCAATATCTATATACATATATGTTATCTGTTGATCCCTGCTGACAAGTGCTGTAACCAGAGGGGGCATTATATTACCTGGTAATGCAGGTTATGTTGTTCATAGTGCTATGTATGTTTACTATATGTTAAGTTATTTTACGTTTACCCTATTCAATGCAATAACACCCATTAAAGATATTATTCAAGTTTTGATACCTGCGAAATGTTATCTAATAGGGACCGACCATTTATCTTCTGAAGGGTGTTCACGTTTTCGGCGACCAAAGTATAGTTGTTCATTTTAGCAAATTAAATGACATTTCATTTTTTTATTCTTTAATGTGTTCATACTCAGATGACAGTGAACGCCATATGAAATAATGAATCGTCCAAACCATGATCCACAGTTTATTCGTGGACACCCATCCTCACCACCCTACAGAAATAATGGTCGATTCCTTAGAAGAATGTTCCTTTACATTGATTTTACAAGTGAAAAGAAATCAGTTGGAAAACTATAATTATTGCTTTAAACCGAAAACATCAGTTTTGATGTATTTATAAAATGACGGTTTTAAATAACTGTTTAGGCATATATTTTCAATAACGTTCTTAAACTAAATATGTACTCAGTTACTTCTGCACTCAAGTTCTGACATAATGTTGTCACGCTCCGTGTGTAAACTGGTACAAGAATAAACAGAATACCGAGGTATTGTTGTTATGTATTGAATCTTGTAAACCGGGTATTGCTTCAACAGTCAGACATGTACACAGGTGTCAACCATTCGTAACTATCCGTGGCCTACAAGAAGACTCGTACCTGTGTAGTACGCTATTACTGCCAAGAATCGTGGCAAACCAATCAAATCGCGCGTAGTAAAATGTGAATGAAGGCAAATAGTTTCTTTGCGATTATCGATTTTCATTATTATTTCCATGATTATAAAATTATCTTGTGACTGATATTTGTTAACGACATAAGAAACTTACGTAAAGTGACTTTCGTGTTGTATTATAAATTTCTAGTAGTTGCCATTTTTTGGAAATTCAGAGTTATCTTTCCTTGGAAAGAGACCAAGACTATTTTCATCTCCCTGTCCGTTTGCACTTAGACAAGGCCCAGTCGTTAACATGGCCACGAGATGGGTACGAGTTGCCATCCGGCTTGCCGGAATGACACGAGTATTTACAAATGAGATATCAACGAGAGGCTCATATACCGTCATGCCATGCGACACTGTTCCAACATCCGGGCTTCTCGCAGACCATTCCTCTCTACTGATTCATAAGTTCAGTTTACAAATTGGATCATACTATATTTGCTGCGTCTCCAAAAATGAAAATGACACCTTGATGGCCTGATAATTGTCGTGATTGTTGTCGGACCTGTTCCACACTAACCTATTTGTTCAGGGTGGTTATTATTTTGCCGACATGAATAGAAATTTATACAATCGCACGGGAGGCACAACTGGTCATTGTAGATTAACAGGGCAGAAAGATCACGGTATACTTGATACCAGGCTCAAGAAAGCAGGGCAATGGGCAATGCCACTCGGTGCTTTATGACCAATGAATATCTAGACCCAGGAAAATTAAAGGGAGTCTTGGCTCATTCACCAGCATTAGCCCGCCCATGATTGCCATTTAGTTGCTGATAGAACCGGAATGTCTGACACAACGCTGGGAATTTAATAGAGGCTCGCTTGGCCATGGAGAGTAAGCCAAATGCCGTATGTGCTCACGTTACGGTGCGATGGGGTTGCCTAATGGGTATAGCTCCGAAGACCCGGGTACAGTGGGTACACGGTGTGAAGCCCATTTCTGGTGTCCCCCGCCGTGATGTTGGCATATTGCTAAAACCGGCCTAAAGCATACTCACTCACCCTAGGTAGGCGTGCGTGCGTGCGTGCGTGTTTGAGACTCAATCTGATTCAGTTAGCATTTCAACACGTTAATAAAAGAATACAGCATCATCAGAACGATATTTTATTTGTTAAACCTTTTAATTATCCTAATTACACCTACGCGAAGTCTGTGTTCACACTTGTAATAATTGTCTACACTGGAACTCTGCACAATGCTAAGGAATGTTGACAAAATGACTTCACATGATAACATTCAACGCACGTTTTATTCATGGTAAATCACAAAGGCTTTTGAACTTCTGCAAACAATTGCAAGCACGTTAATCACTGTTAAATTTAGTTAAGTCACTCCTTAGATGCCCATATCATCACTGACCCTCCTACACACGTGGAAACAACACCCAAAACTGCATTTGAAGTTTAATTTTAAAATAGAACACAACTTCTACAAGAGTTATTTTAGAATTCTACCCTGATCTCAATAAACCCGGATATCCAAAAAGCATATTTTTATAATGTCAGTTACAACGGGGTGAGACAGTGCATAGAATGAATAACTATATGCCCTGGTAGGTCTCATCTTTGATTTATCCCAGCCCGGAACATGGATGTGATAAGGATACCACGAGCTCATCACGGGTGTAATGGACCGACCTCTCTCAGTCCCCAGCGGCAATTGAGCACGATCAGGGTGGGAGCGCTGGGTAACTACCCGTAATACAATCCTGAACAAGGGGAACAGGATGAACACTTTGATTGTTATCAGTTTCTTGTGCAGTGCGTGTGTTTTAGTGTGCGTCCAGTATGTCGCTGTAGGGAGTTGGAGCTTAGATGGCGATTATTGTACGCTTGCAAAACTGCCCTTATTAAATAAATGTATATCCTGTTTTTATTCGAAATAACGAAAGATGTAAAAGGCAGATGTTCTTTGGTTGTTCCGACATGCTTTAAGAATACAAATATTGAACGATACATACATTCAGTTGACGTTCAAGTTAAAGAGGGAGTGAGAATGGTTTTATGCCGCTTTTAGCGATATTTCGGCAACATGATACCGAGGTTCCAAGAAATGGGCTTCACACATCGTACCAATGTGGGGATTCAAACCCGGGTCGTCGGTGTGATGAGCGAACGCAGGCAACCCAACCGCAGTTGAATTAATGAAATGAAGTATGTTAAACAGTTGATAACAGTTGTTACAGAGTGTACATATCCAAATGTCTTCATCCACGTGTAACTTCGACCGCCGCCATTGCTTGGGACCCGTGAAGGTCCGGGTTAGACTGAACCTTCAGTAACCCATGCTTGTCGTAAGAGGCGACTAACCGGATCGGGTGGTCAGGCTCGCTGGCTTGGTTGACACATGTCATCGGTTCCCAATTGCGCAGATCGATGCTCATGCTGTTGATCACTGGATTGTCTGGTTCAGACTCGATTATTTACAGACCGCGGCCATATAGCTGGAATACTGCTGAGTGCGGCGTAAAACTAAATTCACACACTCACTCACTCCATTGCTTGGTGGATACAACGTCTATCCAAACAGCGGAAGGTAACCTGTTCGAACCACGGTTTCACCATCCCAAAATACATTAAACGATGGTATTTGTTGTTACCCTGCCTGGCGCTTGGAGTTAAGGGTATAAAACAAGAACTGATCGGTTCTGGGTCAG